TCATTTTGAAGTCTCTATATAATTAAAATAGTTTGCAACCTTTTGAAGCGTAATCTTTTTGTATGGTACTTAAAAACAGAAGAATAAATATTTTTAAAATTGCGCTACATTTTTTAAACGAAATTAACAGTTTTAAATTAGCACATCAAAAATTCCTCCGAATAACTTTTTATTCCGTGAGAAACTTTCATGATGTATAAGCGAATTTCTTTTATAAAAAGAAATTTCCAGTCGTAAAAAAGGATTAAAAAAAAAACCTTCTAATACTGATTATTCAATGATGTTGGAATTCACCGCAATGCATAGATTTATATTTTTTCTTCATGCTTATGCTTCGAAATTGTTAAAGTGAAAAATTGGTGGCACGTAGAAATGCTACATTGCGTGCGATTCATCCATTATGGTGAAAAACAAGTACTTACATCTTAATGTTTTGAGTTACTGCCATTCTGTTTTTCGAGTTCGGGTTCGTAATGTCTCAATTTTTAAAACAGCTCTAGTGTTTTTACTTTAGGATAGACAGTTCGGCATTTTTTGAAAAACGTTCTCTGGATATGTATAAATATTTACTTTTCTTTGTTTAATAAAAGTGATACGTAAATTTATAACTTCAAGATAAAGTTTTCAGTGCCCCAAACATATTTTTTTTAAAAATGTAATTATAAAATAGAGAATAATTGAGAAAAAAATATACATATTGTGATTCCACAATGGGCATAACAAATATCCTAGCTTTTAAAATTTCCTTAATTTCCTGATCTTTTTTTTTAATCATTCTTAATCAAATTATAATTAAATTAAATCAATCAATTTTTATTTAAAGCTAACATAACATATTTTATTCTTTTCATATCGATCAATGTAACGGCTAGCTTTTTATTTCAATTCTACTGTAGACTCATTAATTCACTGTCTCGCCTAATCAAAAACAAAAATCTATAACTCTTTATTCTAAAAATTTCTTACCACAAATATATGTTTCAGTTACTAATTCTCACAGTCTTGGCGAATCGCGATCGCCAAGGTATTTTTCAAACTTAATATTGATTATGGGGGGTTGGCTTTATTTTCGGTTAAGTAATTTTTCGATAAATCACCAACCAAGGATCTCTTCTGTTGATTCTAACTGTTTGTTTGGGAACAATTCAATTACATTTTAATTTGACTTTTGATTAGGTAGGTCACGGGGCATTTATCTCTAATGGCCTGTCCTTATATAAATCTGATGGATAAAAATATATTTTGTATCTCGAGCTCTGCAAATACTACTGAATAAAATTTTTATTTTAATTATCATCCAGTTTTTTTCCACAACTGTGATTTTCATTATTATGTTTTTATCACAATTTTCAATTAGTCAATTATACCGAACAACTTCCAACAACATCTGATTTCGCCTCAACTTACATATACACAAACATACATATACATATATACTTAATACATACATATACAGTCAAACCCCCGTGTAGTGAACATGGTTTATAGTGAACTCCCGGATATAGTGAACGAAATGTTCGGTCCTGTGCCTTACTATACACGTATAATGTTATTTTTTGTGGATATAGTGAACCAAAAAAGTGAGGAAGTTGGATATGATGAACTCCCGGTTATAGTGAACCGAAATGTCGGTTCCTTGAAGGTTCACTATAGCGGAGTTTGACTGTATATCTATACATGTATACATTTATATGCACTTTTTTTTAAAAAGAAGTTGCGATTAGGTAATTTTATGTGTATAATTCAGCCAAAAAATAGAAATCAGTTCTTCAAGTGGGAAACAATTATTTTTCTTCCGTTGCATGAGATTTGTTTTTAAACTGATCTTGGATACTTTCGTATCGCTGACCTCAAGTCTGCATTCGGTTTCTCGCTTCAAGCAGCAACTTTTTTTAAACCACATTTTTAACCTTTTTTTGTCGAAATGTACAAAATTAAAAACGTTATACATAACAAGAACCTCATGAATGTTGTAACAAACTTCTAAGGGAGTTAAGACACATCTAGGGGGGGGGACTAAGTTAAGGCACATAGGGGTGTTAAAGCATCAGGATTAAAATTTAAAAGAAACCCGTGCTCGGAAATGTCATCATCCCAAGCCAAAATTTGTGATGGTTTTTCATTGATGGACCAACATAATCTTGATGGTTGCCATCAAAAATTTCGATCATGAGCCATTAAATTTTTTTATGGTAACCAACATAAGTAACCATCACCCCAAAGTAGGAATTCGGACTGATTTATGATGGTCCAACATAAGAATAGTAACTTGTTTTGATGGTTTGTTCGTGTTAAACCATCAGAAATTTCCATCATAGTTTCTTTGAAATCAAATGTTGGAACGATCATGAGCAGTCATCATCGTAATGTAGGAATTCGGACTGATTTATGATGATCCAACATAAGAATAGCAACTTGTTTTGATGGTTTGTTCGTGTTGAATCATCAGAAATTCCCATTAAACCATCATGCAAATGTATAGTTGGAATCATGATGGACCATCACGGACTGTTGGTCCATAAGAATCAAAGTTCTCTTGATGGTTAAACATCATAGCATCAAAGTAGCTTTGGTGGAAGTTTGTTGGCATATCAAAATCCATGAACGCATACTGGAAAATTTTGGATGATGGTTGATGTTGGACCATCATGAAACGCACTTAAACAAGCATAAACCATCGAGGTGTTTTGAGGAGACCATCAAGAATTTTGACTTGGAATAATAAGCCACTAGGGGAGCTTCCCTATTATGAAATGATTCTTCGGGTGCTTCTGAATAGGTCATTATAGAAAAACACCTAGCCGCGTAAGACGACGATTCCGGGCATGGATTCCCACGAAATTTCAATCCTCATGATGTGCCCTAACTCCACTAGAAGTTTATTGTAAAATTTATGCAATCCCCGTGATCTTAAACTTCTACATTTCGACAAAAAATAGACTAAAAATATCATTTTATGATATTGTAGCTTCAGAAACAAAAGTTATTTCATATTTGAAATCCCCACACCGGAAAGACCAAGTAGTCATAGTGAACAAGGATGGAGTGAGCATGGGGCATGGATATAGTGAACGAAATGTTCGCCCCCATGCCTTGCTATACACATATAATATTATTTTTTGTGGATATAGAGAATCAAAAGAAGAGAGGAAATTGGTTATTATGAACTTTTTTATGTCTTCGACTGATTTTTTTTCTACATATTTTAGTAATTTTGAAATTTCTACATAAAATACATATACCGATTTTTAAAACCATTTATTGAGTGGAATGGAGCCAGATGCATTTTTTCTTGTTTGATTCTTTTATCTCAGTTTCCCATCCCAAAATAAAGGCCATCCCTAAATTTTTTGAACTCAAGACGAAGAGTAATAAAAAATAAACTCATTTTTTGTTACTACATATAGTTAAATCATTTTTGTATTTCTTTTTATCGGTCATTTATTTAAATAATGTGCAACAAAAGGTTCGAAAAAATTGTTTGCAGTACGGATATGGTGAACTCCCGGTTATAATGAATCAAAATTTCGGTCCATTCACTATAACGGAGTTTGTATAAATGCAACAAATGAGTGTTCTCCAGTGTAATTTATCTAATGTGCGGATTACTAAGAGGGCACAAATCTCTGAAACTACCCAGGTCAATCTGAACAATACCTACTTAGACATTCCTTAAAAAGGGAAAATAAGATTATTGCTGAAACAACAATGAACATTTCTATACGCTTACAGTACTATAATGTCATTTATATTTCACGCAATCAAGTTACTACAATCAGTAATAAAGTTACTACAATCAAATCAAGTTACTACAATCATTGAATGAACGAATTATTTCATAAAGTTGAATGGAATAGAAATTTTTTTTTAAATGATAAGCATCAAATTATAATACCAAGTATCAACCGCTATGAAATATATTTTTATAATGAAAAAAAGTAATAGATGATTTATTTATTTTTCAAAGTCGAAAAAAAATAAAGTCAAAACAATAAATAAATTAATTTTTAAAAAAATGGATAAATAAGTTTTTGAACTTAAACGATGAAGAAACCGTAAATTTGCACATTACTTAGATAAAATGCGAATTTTCACTTTAACGGAGCAAATAAATTAATCAGCTGATTAATTGATTAGCTGATTGAATTGATTGCTACTAGGGTAAGTTGCACATTAACTACTTTCGATATTTAGCTGCAGCATTTATATGTAGTAGCTTTTCAATTATGTGCATTTGTCGAATTTCATGAAACTTTTTTCAAAGAACGCAAATGTGATAAAAGTGGTCGTACATGTTTTTTTTAATACTAAGTCGATATTTTGTTGTGTCACCTTCCACTTCAACTTTGTCTTCAGATCTAAATACAAATATTTCAATCGTTAACATATTATGTAAGATAAAGTTATTATTCTTCTTTTTTTGCAAAATAAATACTAATAACGAAATACTTTGAGTAAATAATAATAATGAAACAAACTGTCATTTTTTCGTTCGCAAAAAAAGTCTTTCTCTTAAATAGAAGCTTGATTAATGGGTTAATCAATCTTAATATTTGATTTATTTGTTCTAGTGCATGCCTTTTAAAGTACTTTCAGTGCAAAAGTTATTACGGCAACTATTTATGTTTTTTTCTCCCTTTTTTATCGTGGAAGCGCTTCTTAAAAGTGGTAAAATCAGTGCATTTTTATTTGAGCCAAATGATTAAACTGTTTATTTAACAATTGATTTTTTTACTAAGTTATAAAATATGAGTGATTGGAAACATTCAGAATAAAGTCGAGTTTATACAACGGAATTCTTTTTTTCTTTCTTTTTCAATTATTGACTTTCAACAGTTTTTCGCAATCAATTTATGCATTAACTACTTCGTTTTCGGGAGCGAAATTCGAACGTTTTAATGATTTGTCAATTCAACGTTTAGGAACTAAATGCACCAGATTCTTGTTAGACGCTTTACATTGCATCCTATTTCGCTTTAGGCAGTAACAAATGTGCTTACCTCTTTTGCCGGTGTAGCCATCGACAGACATGAGAAAAAAATGACCATGACTACAATCTTGTCCATATCGGAAGATAAAAGCTCACACACACCGACCGGAAAGCTTTTCGTCTTCGCTGGGAATACTCTGAATCCTCCGCATCTTCTAAAAATCATCCCCCAGTTGATTTTCGGGATCACTTCTAGATGTCACTACCGTCGGTTACCATAGCAACTAAGTGAATACATTGGGATAACAAAGAGCATTGCGGATTTAGTTGATGTTGAATATGAAGCTCGCGTCTTTGCTTTTACTTCCATTTCATTCTTTTGTTTTGAGAAGAAGAAAAAAATTGTCCTTCTAGGATTTATATGGAATTTTTCGCAAATACTAGAGCCTGCATATATTTTCCTTTTCTTTGATTTTTCCAATACACGAAGCGACAGAGAAAAATGTTAAAAATGAAACAACAGATATGTAAACTTGGTATTTCGAGCAAATTTTTTTCTTCCTTCTTTTGTGTCGGTGTGTTTTCTTGGTTAAAATTTTGAAAGCATTCGATGCAAGCGGGAGATAAAACTTTCGAGATTACATTTTGAAAGGAATTGATGCTTTCAAAAGGAATGTAAATGTCTGTTTATGGGGAAAAAATTGGGTTTTCGTCTTGATATATATATATATATTTCTTAGGGTGGAATTTTTAAAATATTTCTTTTTTCAACGTGAAAAATTGACAATTAACTCTAAAATTTTGTTCTAACCTAAACATCAGTAAAAGTGGATTATTAAGTTTATATAT